TCAGGGTTTGGGGATGTGGGCTTAACAGTTGAAGCAGCCAGCCAGGTTACAATAAGCTTCTTTGGTCCGCAGTGGGGATTTGGCCTTGAATGATCCAGAGGTAAATTGTGTTCCTGAACTCATCCAAATCCTCACAGTAGAAGGAAGAAAGTATTACAGCTGTTCATGATGTGTGCAGAGTAGCCAAAGCTACATTATACTTTCATGTTGTTTTTGTTTTGAGCACAAATCATCAAGAAAAATATAAACATCCCCGCTGAAAAATATATTTCATTCATCACAGCTGTGCACGACTCTATATCTTTGCTTTGAACTATGCATGAGAAAAAAGGAATGGCATTGCTTATTTTCTGTGCAGAGGACATTGTAGTAGTTGACAATGTTGTTAAAATCCCTGCTACAATCCTGAAGCTTACAGCTCCATTTTCCATTTTGCCTATTGCCAAACTATACTCAGTCACATCGTTCAAAATAGCTAAAGGGGGCAGAGAGAGGGCAAAACTGGGAGTGGCTTCCTTACAGTGGAGAGTCACCCCGCGACATAGACACACACCTTGCATGCACAGGAAATCACACAGATATAATTAAAAGGACACTTCACTGATTTTACACATATGACAAGTATGACTCATATGTGTGAAATGAGTCATACTTCTCATATGTCTCGGTAAACTGTTTTACTGTTAACAGTTCTATGATTTCTTCAGCGGCTTCAAAGTAGCTTTCTAAAATCTGAGAAAATAACCCAGATAATGTCATACTCATGTCATCAGGATTATTTCCACTTTGACTATACAAAGTTATACATTTATAACAGAGGGCATGCATTACAAACTGGGAGCATGCCATTTATCAGGCAGGGTGAGTAAAATGAAATTATGAATCTTGGCTCCAACTCGGGACTAAAAGTCAGGATATTCTGGCCTCTGTTTCTTAAATTTTGACCTTTTTTTTTATATCCATCCGTCTCTCACAAGTCCCCCCGATATAATGGATGTGCCACACTATATTGGTGGAGAATTTGGAGAGAATTTGACGTCTGGTTCCCAAAATTCACCACAGTGAAAAACAGCTGTTTCACCTTAATCACATTGTATTGGAGTATTATGGTAAAACTGTCAAAGATTATCCAGTGAATAGGGAGCACAGAAGGAGTACTTCAGACTTTAAGTTCAAACATTGTCTTTGCAGTGTATATTCAGCGCCAGTCTCAGAGGACCCGGTCCAAAGAGAACTGACATTCGATGTGATTAAGTAGGTGCTATCTGAAGCCCCACCCAGGGGTGCGTTAGTAATCCCCAGTGTGCATTTCACACTGTTCTACTGCAACAAATTACTTCTTCTGCGCTGCACCCATACCTATATCCGCATTTGCCACTGATTGAAGCGCATATACTGTAGACGTCCATCGGCTGTTCCCTGGGGGGAATGGAGAGAGAGAAAGACAGAGGAGAGAGACAGCCAGGGAGATAAGGAGTGGGAGTGGGAGGGGGGGAGAAGAGATAGAGTTATCCGCGGTCTCATTACGGTGGGAAATGTGAGGGTCCCGATCCAAGGGAATGATGAAGGACTCTGTGGAGGAGGCCTCTGAGAACCAACAAAGACGGCTTTAGTTTCACTGGCAGAATGCATTTGCATAGCTTAGAAGCCAAAGCGTCTGAACCGGGGCTCATGAAAAGAAACCCCAGCAATTGGTTGGACTTCAATGCAAACGAGAGGGAGCGAGAGACAGAAAGAGAGAGAGAGAGAGAGAGAAAGAGAGAGAGAAGTGGGATGGGAGAAAAAGCAGAGAACTTTTTCTCTTCAGTAGCATAACACAAAATGAGATCAGGAACATCTGCACATCCCATGGAGGTTGTCGCCGACTGACTTTGATGCAAAGAGAACATACTGAAGGCGGTACATCTCCAGATAAAGTAACAAGCAGAAAAACATTTCCATGCTATCATAAGAGTCATGTTCCATTGTAGCCGTTTGATATTATTATTTAGTGCAGTTTGGTTGTCAGCCACATTAGAGATAAATGCCAATTGAGAATATTTTATCAGGTTACTTATATTTGCCAGGACAGAAGAGCAGCCACTGTCCGATTGGAGCTCTGGAGAGGAACACAGAGATGAGAAGAGGTTGAGATAATAGAGCAATCTCCTGGAAAAGGTGTGTGTGTATGTGTGTGTGTCTGTGTGTGTCTGTGTGTGTGTGTGTGTGTGTGTGTGTGTGTGTGTGTGTGTGTGTGTGTGTGTGTATGTGTGTCTGTATGTGTGGTGAAAGTGATGAGAAAAGAGAGACACGTTACGAGGGAAGAGGGAGGAAAAAACAGGAAAAGACAGGGACAGCAGTTGAAAAAATGAGCAGAGCAGATGTCGTACTTTAGTGGTGTGTCTCTTTTCCCCCTCTGTGGCCTGGAGTCATGGAGGGATGACTAGCCTTCATCAATCCTCTTTAATGACTCTGGCAGCACCACTTAACACACTAGTATGTGATTTCTTCATTACTACATCATGATTCCACCATTTAGTCTGCGGCGATGATGTATACTGATGCTCTGCGATAAAAACAATCGCTGAAAGTCTAATTTTCGCAGACTGTTCCATTTATCTGCTCCTCAGCCAGATTGGAGATCTGGGAAGGAAAGTGGTAACTATAGCTTTGAACGCAACAGAAAAAGAGATAATAGAGTCTGGAGGTCAAAAAAGCAGTGTTAATAGTTATTGTTGAAATGCATTTGACTGTGAAAAACTAAGAATCTCCGGATTTATATGATTACCCCGATTTCAAAGATATGACCACAGCAAAGGATTCAGAGCTTGCCCTCTATAAAACCTGTTGTGAATGTCTACCACTTCAAAGTTACAGGCACCATTATGTGTTCCTATCCTCTTACGGACCTCATTTTATTCAGTCACACACCCACTCCCTTTCACCTGTGGTGCACAATACTCCATTTCATTGACCCACCCACCCTGGCAAAACCTTCGATGAATACAGCGGGAGGCAACACAACATGCATGCTAATGTTTTGCCACTATCAATAATAAATGTTGATTTTTGAACCTTGCCAATACATTTCCATTCAGACCACCTCCCTGGAGATGTGCAGTATGCTTTAAACATGAAGCCATATAGAGGACTATATGCAATGTGATACACAAGTTTGGGTCCATAAACGTCCACCTGTCTATCTCACTAAGCCCTTTTCCAGTTGCAGTACCAGAATATACAGCAGCAGCAAGAAAGCAGGACATATGTAAATCCTCACTCTAGCACACTTGCTGTGGAATAGACGAAGCACCGTAGTGAAGGGGAAAAGGGAGGGGTGACTGTGCTCAAGAGGATTCTCAGGCTGTACAACATACATGCAAACGTACAAACACAGACCGTTAAACGCTCAAACAATTCCATCTGCTACATCTCCCTGTCTCTCCCGCTGCTGAAAGCCTACAGTCCACACACAACCACCTCTATGGCAACACCACATCGAGCATTATGGATATGATTCCTTCTAATGGGCTTGCATCTTCATCTACACGCACACACTGTAGCATGGACAGCTTGCTCACGCCATGAATCTACAGCTTTGATCTGACATTCATGCTTTCAGTTTTGATGGGTAGCGCCATGGCCATCCGTCCTGAATATATGTATATCTTGGAGAGGCCGATTTTGTAGATTTTGAGTAAAGAAGTTATGCCCTTGGGCTTAATGTGTAACTGGAGGAATTCACTAACTACAAACAACAACACCTAGGGCCTATGTACAAATCTTAAACTGCTTAATGACTGCTTAGAGGTTTGACAATGAGGTAAAATCAGTTTTTGTATGTTCTGCATCTTTAAGACACGCCTGACTTTAAAAATATCTCTGCAACAGGTGTTAGAAGCTGAAAGCTGGTAATAGGAGTAACTGTGCACATATATGAGCAGCCACGCTACCGCTGGCCTGACCTGTGCTGTGATTTATTATCTTATTCATCTCCTCCCTCTAGAGAAAGAGAATAGATAAAAACCTGGCGCATCATTGGTCAGGTGCAGCACCATGACTGTTCCTGTCATGCTCACAGTAACCTTTCATTGCTACATCATCTCTGCACACACACACCATAGCGACAAAGATATTTTTTAGTGCCTGGCAACGGCCTCTGAGACACACCACCCCACAACTCTACTTGACCTCGCATTGTCCCTGCACAGCCTCTGCTTTGGTCAGAGCCACTGCCGCTGCCAACAGGTCAGGGCTGTGCAACTCAAGGTCTCCTCTGTGTCCCAATGTTAGTGCACATGAATCATTATTTCCCCACAGTGCTGCTGCTGCTGCTGCTGCTGCTGCAAGGATGACGACTCATATGAGACATTATCTGTGCCACTGGTTGCACAAGCAGACTGGGTAAGAGACAGAAATGTGTGCTCACTGTTAAGTGTGTGCATGGGAGGAAGAGACAGAGAGAGATTCAGACACACAGACACAATGAAGCAGTAGGCAAATAGATCCACCACACATGGAAATTATTCATGACTGTGCATACTAAATGCCACTGCTCAACAGATTACAGACCTTGTGATGATGTTCAAATCTACATTTGGCTCAATGTAAGACCAGTTCCAAGTCGACCTTTTGAATGATAATTAACTAATTACATCTTTGTGTGACCAGTCTGAGAGGCTACAGGTTTCAAGACAAATCTACCAGGTCCCAGTGCAATAATCTACCCAACTAAATTTAGCCTGCTCACCGACCATCATGAGTGATGAATTGGATGAGAAAAGGGGGCTGTGCTTGATTGGCTACACACGCGATTTGCTGTATAACCTCGGGGTTGCTGAGAACATTTGGAGCCTCTCACTCGAACATTCAGACCTGGTTTGTCACCCTTACACGAGTTGATGTTGCATGGGGTTTGAAAAAACCTTGTGAGTCTAAAAGGTGGCGATTTATGAGCGACCACTGTTTTACAAGGTCATGATCACATTTGCTTTCAGCAGGAGCAAATTGCATACACTCACCGTACACTCCTTGGCAACGGATGCCCTCCACGATCAGCGCCAGCAGACCCAAAACACAGATAATTAGATCCATCCTTTCACGTTAATCTCTGCATATCCAGCTCTCAACGGCAAGAAGTCCTTTCCGGGGCGGTGTAACTGAGGTGCATAGACACAGCACTGTTCCGATCCTCACGTCGATTAATTTAGTCTCAGTGTGCGCTGTAAAGGTATTTATGGCCGCAGGAGGCAAACAGACTAGTGATAGTTATTATGCCCGCTGCCATGTAGTCAAAGCGCGGAGCGCTCGCGGCACAGAGACGCCGCGGAGGAAGCGGGGAAGCAGGCAGGCGCGGGGAGTGGGCTGCAGAAAGCCCGGCCTTATAACAAACAGCTACCTCTCCTCGACTCCAGGTAGGTGCGCACCACTGATAGCCTACCGTGTGCTGCTGGATTTTAGCGAAGACCCCCGAGGCACCAAACCGAGGTGGCACACTGATGCTGTCGACTACAGGCGGACGGAGGCACGGTACCCACAGACATAGCTCCTCATTTCCAGCTGTGGCCACGGCTCGCTCCGCGGATGCTGCTGTTGCGTTGGCTGCGCGCTGTCAAACGAAGCCATCACCTCTGCTTCACAAAAGCACTCACACTGTCAGAATTGTCACCGTCTTCACCTTCTGGGCGGTAAAGTCGTCAAACTGCTGTTGTGTGCGCTCACACAGTCACATCACGACTGCAGCCCGACGCCGCGCGCTCGACTCATCTCTCCCGGTGGCAATGACAAGGGGAGGGTCCAGTCCGGTGAGGAGCGGCGGATGGTTTCTCTACAGCTCCTCGGCGATGCCTGCTGTTGTCTCGGCGTTATTAGACCACTTTTTAATGAATTCACGCGACGGTGGGACGTGGGAGCCGGATGTGCCAGCCGTGGAGCCAGTTGAGCATCAGTCACGTTGCGCAATACGTGCTACGGAGACCGAGTGGCACCGCAACCGGTCTGTGGCTACGTCAAGAGGTGCGTGGCTTCCAGCGCTCATCTGTATGGGAGGCTTCGCTCAGCGTCAGGAAAGGCATGAGAGGCGCAGCTGCTGGATGCTGTGAGAGAGAGGGGGAGAGAGATGGGACCATTGGAATTCAGATCTAGCTTTGACAGACCTTTGCAATCAACACAAAACACACAGTCTATACTCCTGTCTGCTCATGTTTCTCCATGCCTCTTTTATCAGACAGGGAGGATGACATGCTGTCTGTCAGGTAGCATTCATCAGATTTGGCTTGAAACAGCGAGACTTCTGTGTTACAATCACACACTACTGCTGCTGCTGCTGCTGCTGTTGCTGCTGCTGCCACAGGCCTAAATGTTTTGGACAACTTTTTCGCAATTCATGAGTTTTAAAGTTTTGAAGAGGTACATCTAAGTGGTTCCCAAATGGGGCCCCATCAGGCCCGGGGGCGACCTGCTGGCAGTTCCAGGGGGTTCCAGCTAAATGAGAAAATCTATTTAATTGCATTCAATTTTGCCATATTTAGTGACAAGAAATACCCCAATTAAAAGTGTAAGAAAGACTATCCTGACCACGGGTTTCACTATCATCCTCCAAGTACCTTACCGACTCATGCTTATATGAACCATTTCAAAGTAAGAAACATTATACTGTAAATGGCTCTGCTTTATTGCATTTCCTATTGAAGTGTTTGGTAATGTCAATTCTGACAGTTGGACTATGTCTGTTTCCTAGCAACACAATTTCAAAGAAAGTGTATTACGGTAATTAGTATATTTTCTCCAATGGGGACAAATGAGAGATGTCAGAGCCACAGTCTGGTTGCTGATTACACATACAGAATAAAACACCAAAGCAAAGCACAATTTAATTCATCACCAAACTGGGTTTCCCTGTGATGCCAAACAATTGTCTTTTAAGGCCTTGTAGATATCGGAAAGCAATGGCTAATTCAGTATGCAGCATACATTTACAATTGACACTATATCCAGATATCTCACCGGATTGTTTTCTGGTATTTTGTCATTAAAATGTCTACGCATAGGCTATGTTGTAGTATTGGCACAGTCCAGCAGGAGATAACAGTAACGTTGTCTTAACAAATAGGACTAATTCCCCTACTCTAGTGTTGCATTTTCCTTTCAATCTATTCAAACTATTTCATGTTGCAACAGGGAAATAAAACTATTTAACGGCTTATAGTGCTTCATCTTTACAGGCAACTGTGGATCCGCTGGAGCAGTGACTGCTGGAGCTCCAATGGGTAGTTTGGCGCCCTCTACAGGATTTTATTAAATAGATCCTTAATCATGTAGTCATTGGGGGTTATGTCCAGTTTGTGACGGGCTATAATTTTGATGCACATGCTCACTGTTTAAAATCGACATGAAGGTGACATCATGAGTATTTCATTGCCTCGTGAGATTTCCATTATTGTTATTCGGCTGAGCTGTCAATATCTGATCATCAGATGAGGACCTCATAGTGGAACGGAGGCATAAAATGAATTTAGCGGAGTTAATATTTGATATAGGCTATTCTAAATTTAATTTTTAGAACCTAAATGATTAATCATGTCCATCCATTTTACACTATCATTAGGGTGCCCTTGAAGACTAGAGTGGCGGAGCAGTGAAGATAGCAACTTTTTTAAAAAAATGTTCCGGATCTCTTATTTTCTGCCAATAACTGTCTTTGTTTTATACCACAGGTGTGTGGGAGGGCTCTATAATTCTATCATCTCTATCATTCAGGATGTATAACTCTTCTCTTGCTCTCTGTCTTTCCACTCCCTCTCTGTGAGAGTGCATCTGCAAGTGTAAGGAAAGTGGTCCTTTCATTGTAAATAACAAAACCAAGCACAAATCGTCATTCAACAAGTCATTTAAAATTGAGTGTCTACTTGAGCTTGAATTTTCTTGAAGCAAGTGGACTGGTATGTTTTTGGGGGGTGGGAAAGTTCTTGACACAACTGGACATTGACCTACTTCAACTCTTTGACAGACAGACTGACATTTTTCAAGACAAACATATCAATACTTAGGTAAATATTAGGCTTGGCTATACCGTTAAGTAATTTGGATATGGATGTAAGTCGGTTGAATGTCCTGACAAGTATAAAAATGTGTGTTTTGTCATATGGTGACGTGTGTGTATTATTGTCACTTATCCACCACCTGCTTGCTGCTAATCATCATGTTTATTACTGTACCTTTGCATCACCCATTCAGTATAGACTGGAGCGGCAGACCACCGGGGGAAGCTTAGACTCCCATCTGTCTGTTTTGCGGATAAGTCTGCTCTGAGCATTTCCCCATCTCTCTGTCTTCCCCTTCCCGGTGGAATATATTGCAACCCTTTTTATCCAAGATGTCTAATGCTACTACTGTGCACTGACACTGGAGGGAATGTGATTATGAAGCCCATTGTGAGAACAGCATCTCCATGTAGCATCATGAGGGGGTTTATAAATATAATGTGCCCTCACTACTATTGTACTTGGAGCTGTATGACATTTCACAAATGTATTCAGTCATACAGTGCATGAGGTGTTGGATGTGGTATGAAACAAGACAATTTGGCATTTGGGGAAGCCTCTCTGGGCTTCGCTTCCATCTTCAAACACAGCAGCAGACAAAGATGACGTCACAGTAAAATACAAGGCCAGGGTCAGACACAGAGGAGTGTGTATCTGTTATTGTGTATCTGCGAGTGTGAGAAAGAACATGAGAGGGTTATGGTTTTTGTACTCTGACAATATTCTGCTCTGGTTGGCATCACACTTGAGCAAATCCCAAATCGAACAACATGTATTTTTACGTCTCGATGGCCTAAAAGTCATAACAGCCAGTGGCCACTTGTGGAAACAGTTCCACTGCCTACTGTAGCTCAAAGCTTGTCAAGCAATGCTCACTTGTTTTTTGTCCGGTTATGGTTGCTTCATTTAGTCAGCATCACCATTCGAGTGTGGCATTTGAAGCGAATGATTACTTTAAACTTCTATCTGGCGAACAAGGGAGACATCATTTGGTACACCCTGCGGGGATTGTGAGATAGAAATGGCACAGGCCTGAGCATTTGGATTTGAAACACTTTAAATGGTTCCAACAAACTGCAATTATTTTTTCCTCTGAACCCAATGGGGGTATGGTAAGCTATACAGAATTTTGGCAACCTCTCAAAAATTGCACATTCCGACTTCCAGCCACCCCCGCATGCATATTAGCTACAGTATACACACTCACAGGACACAACCAAGCATCCCCCTGTGTGCCCCTGTTGACGAATGTTTCACTTCGAAAATAGGTCACTGCCGCACTGGCAGAAAGATTTTAGAAAGGACAACATTAAAAAGTGGGCAGATGATTTAGTTTCTGCGTGTCGTGATTCGTTTACAGTGCGATAATGCCTTGCATGTGGCTTATCCGAGTCCAGCTGGAGTAAAAGAGACGGCGGGTAAAAAGGCATCTAACAAGAACACTCACGACTCTCCTTCAGGCTGCAGTTTAAAAAGATGCAAAGGCTGAGAACCAATACAAATCTTAGCACTGATGAGTTAATGCACACTTCCTCTGCTGATTCTCTGAGAAGGCAACAAATAACTTTCTTATATGTTAATGGGATCTTGATGGCATCAGTTCTTAATGCTCTTGAGTGGCTTTCCACATAAAAAGAGCTGACTCCATTTAGAGTCCGTGTTTTTAGTTTTCTGTTGAAAAGCTTCATCTTGAGCGCACTCTTTTAACACGGAATAGTGTGGGTTCTCATGCTGAGAGGCAGGCCATAGCCTGACTATAAAAACAAAAGGAAGTCCTGACAGGCATGACGTGTGTTTCTATTCTACAAATGTTCCCTCAGACACCCCTCCCCCTGTTTTCCCTGGGTAGCGGCACTTTGACAGACTCAGTATTCACGGTAGCAGGAAGCCTTTCGGCAGTATTTACACACATAACTGGGGTTAAAAGAGGTAGATTTCACAATGAGGTGCAGCGGTTCATGGCAGCTGGTATCAAGACGGCATCAGAATCCAGAAACAGTAGCCCTTTGTGATGGTCCCTGGTGAGATATCAGGGTTGGTCTCCACAGAGGTTGTGATGTCAATGAATTCAGTTCAACAAGTGGTCTGAAGTTACCTGCACATTTGAAGCTTTGCAAAATTTGCCACCACTGTGTGAAAACTATAGCCAAAACACAGTTGTAAATAAAAAATCTTTACTATTTTTATGTGCTTTGCACATTAGAGGACTTCTTATGACCCCCTTCCACACTTCAATCTGATTAAAATCGCCACAAATCAATATATTCATCTGTCTATACTGTGATGTTATTTCTCCTTAATCTAGCTATACTGCAGCTGTCCATTTTAACACAAGACAACTTCCTATTGGCCTATTGATTAGCTGCGCTCCCAAGTGATTCTTCCCACTTCAGATTGATTCTGTCAGGGCTGTTTTGGTGAGACAGTTAATGTGGCTTGCTAATCAGGCTGCATGAACCTACTTTACCAATTAAATGGCCCAGTACTTGACATCATATACAGGCCACTGATATTTGTTTCATTTTAGAAGGTTACAAAGCAATACACCAAATAACTAGAAATAATCATTTAAACAGTTTGAAGATGAAATTGTGAAAGACATATGAATGACAAAACACTCTGCTGCAGATTGTTGTCGTGGCAGCAGCAAATTGGTCAGTTTGCTCAGTTCTGATCAAAATAAATAATTAATTTCTCGGTATGACAACATATTTTGGTAAGACTTATTTAAACTTTCCTATTTGCAAATCGTTCAAAAGTAAAACTGTATGACGATGTATTCAAAACCTCTGAGGGCATGTGGAGCTTAAAGGTTCTGGTTAGTTTAACAAAATCTCAACTCAAGGTCCTCTTACTATTTTATATTTCTAGAGCTTTCGGCAGCATCTCATGGTCTTCATCAGCAGATAAAGTTTGCTCAGGTCATGCATGATCTATGTAATACATCTCATACTCCATGTCAACTGAGCAAACTTTCACACAATA